ATGTTCTACAATTCTATGGTTCTAAATACTTCAGGCATGGTACTGTTAGGTAAGGGCAGATCGTTTGGTCTCAGTGACACCAGGAGTAAGTTTGGTCATGGCCTCAGGTGGAGCATTTACTGCAGCTGCCACTCTTTGCTCAGTCTGTACACAGGAAAGACAGGGAGACCTCAAGGCTACAAGCAGTAGTCCACCTCTCTGGGTTTAACGACTTTGGTGATTTGCTGGACATTATCATACACACTTTTCTTTTGCACAGCTGTAACTCCACTTAGCAGGAACTGCACTGACAGGTGAAAATGAGGAAACAGGCACTTTCTGACACTTTTCAGAACTCCTTCCTTCACTCCATGACACGGCTGTAGCATGGACACTGTGGTTGTTTCGCCCCATACAGACTTTCCCATTAGCAAACAACACTTGCATGAGCAACCCTTTCTATGAGACTGCTTAAAGAAGATGCTATGACTCCTTCTATCCCTTCAGTACAGTGCACCATGTGGTTGCTCATTGCTGTCTATTGTAAGAATCCCAGCCTTCACTCCAGGCAATTTTATGTTTTGGGCCTCAGGTAATGTATCAGTTGACAAATTTATTTTCTGATCTTGTATCAAGACTTTACACCTCCAGCCTAATTTGCTGCAAATTTTTGCAGAGAGGATGGATGCAGATTTTAACAATTTCTCCAGAAAATGTGATCTCATTTTGTGAAGATGATATAATTTCCTCCTTTGCCTCACTGCTCATACAGTTCACACAGAGAAGACAAGAAGCAACAGGTTCAAATTGAAATACTGGAAATTCCATTTGAATAGGAGGATAGGAGGAAAAAACCCTCTTTAATGTGAGGCTGGTCAAACACTGGCACAAGGTGTCCTGAAAGATTGTGGAAGTCTCCACCAAGAGAGATACCCAAACTCCAACAGGATTGAGCCCTGAGCAGCTGTCACTGACCCTGCTTGGAGTTTGGGGGTTGGACCAGACAATCTCCAGAGATCCCCTCCAACTTCCAGCAGCCTGTGAAAAGGGCAGGAATACCATAAGTACGTTTAAGAAGTTGCTTCATGTTATGTGTTTTTAACAAGATACATTTTATTCCAGCTCCCTACTTCTTGGAGGCACTATTGTGCCAAGGTACCACAGAAGTCCTTGAATATCAGAGCACCTAATGATGACTGTGAGCCTACAGTCTGATGCTGCTGAACACCCAGAGCCTACCTAATGCTGTATGTCTCTGTATAAAATACATAAACATTCACTGAAGTGCAAATTGGCACTTAGATCTTGTTTTATTTTTTGGTCTGCAGATGTTTTATTTGACTATGCAAAGTGCAACAGTTTCAACAGAAAACACTGAGAGTCCCACCTTAAAATTATTCCCCAGACTAGTGGGCAGGGAACTTGGATGAGACACAGGAATTGCTTTAAATCCTGACTGAGAAAGAAGTTGATTTCTGACCACTTGATTTCTAGGCAAAAAGGACACTACATTATGTGACAAAGGGTAGATTGAAAGCAAAGTGAGTTTTTGGAGGAGCCCACTGGACATGTGTGGATTAGTTAGGCACCTGTCTTAATGGGATTGAGAGGCTTTGACACCATCTAATTCATTGGGGTCACCTCCTGGATAGTCTAGGTAGACTCCTAGTTGGGCAGGTATTTGTGGTTATGTTCCTTCATTCCTAACATTTCCCTTACTGCAAAGGAAACCTTAGGACTGGGATGCTCTGGACATCACTGCTCAAAAGATGCATCAAGATTAGGGGTTACAGGCTGAGCAGTGATAGGAACAAACCCTTATGGAACAAACCCTTTAATTACTAACCTGAGAAATTAATTATTTTGTACTAGTTCAGCTCTGTTTAGCTTTGTATTTTCTTAACAAATGAAAATAGGCTGGTTATATTTAATTTTGACCTCTTGACATGATGCACTGATACTATGTTCCAAAATCCATGAGTCAAACATTTTATGCAAATCTTAATTAAAAAGACAGGATTATTTCCTGAGTTACTGCAACACTCTACTTTCCTCTGAAATATATTATGGTATTTCTTTCTAGCTAAAGTAGAAATGCAGTTGATGTGACAAGTAATGTTTGACTGATGCTTTAGCAGTAAATCAAAATGGCTAGGTTCACCTTATTTACTGCAGAATAAATATATTTATTCTGGTGGAGTAGCAAAATAATTCCTATTATGCAAAAGAGAAATAAAACCCCATAAAGTTTTTTAAAAAAAATGTTTTTACAGCAACTTACCTGCTAAATATAAAGCTTCTATACCAGCACACAATACTGAGTGTAGAAGCTGAGCTGATATTAAGAACATGTCATAAGCACCTATTCCTAAAAAACTGGTTTTAACTGAAGACATCAAATTTTGTTTAGCTTAGGAATGTACAGAGCAACCAGAAGTATAGACTGAAAAACACATGAAATAAGCCTTCATACTTTCCTCAGATCTAGCAAGGTTGCAGCTAGAATAATACATTAATATTGGAGCACTGTACTGGGGCATGAAAGAAGACACGAACCATTTGGAAAGGGCTGCGAAGAGAGACAAAGTATTGATTTCAGAGGTGTAAAACAAAATCTATTGTTAGGATGCCAATATGGTTGATACAAATGAGAGTGTGGTTGCCTGCAGGAGAACACTCCTGAGTGGCACATCTGAGGAGACCTGGTCGAAGCACAAGCCTGAGAATGCCCAGAGAGCCCAGCCTGCAGCACAAGCTAAGTTAAAGCATTAAAATGCACAATCAGTCCCACAAAGCAGAACTTCTACTGAGAAGATTAAAAAAGAGACATGCTATCGATATGATGAAGGAGTGCAATGCCACTGACTAGATTAAGGAAGAATTACACAATTCATAAAACCCACTGAGAAAGTGTCATCACTGATAAGACTGAGAAAAGCAATGTCAGGTCAAAAGAAGGGACAGGATGTAAACTGCCAAAGTCTCCAGACCATACACAGTCTGAAGAAAAATGGATTCTTGAGGACATTTCTGCAGAAACATTAAAGGAGTTGTAAAATGTGGGCAATGGAAATCAGCAAGTCATAGAAATTACTAAAAAGTATGAGTGTATAAGTGGATACTTGTGTTTGGGATCATCTGCAGTTAACAGGATCACAGATCTTCTCTCCCTAACAATCCTATTTATATAAGACATACATTATGTAGAAATACTGGCATCAGTTGACACCTGTGAAAAGTAACTGTATCCCTGCAAAATGTGTTACAACACTGTAATTTTCTGAACTGAGAGAAGGCTGAAGGGACACACTGACAATGGTCTTTGTGCAACTAAGAGGCCATTCTCTGAGTACAAGGATGGCAAGACAAAAATAACGCAAGTCACTGAACTGCAGTAAGGCAGACATCAGGAAAACCTCAGGGTAACAATGCACAAGGCTTCATTCCATGTTGAAGCTGTGGAATCTCCAACACTGCAGGTTTGAAATGGCATCTTGGACAAACATCACGAAAAAAAGTCCCATATAACTGACCTAGGAATAGAGGGAAAGCAGGTGGAACTTTTGAGATTTGGTCCAATCTGATATGATCTTTTTATTATGATTTTATGACTGTAGCAAATGTTCACATAAACTCTGCTTATTTATTTTAATCATACAAGAAGCACACTTCAAGGGACACGTTAAAATGGCAAACAAACTACAGCAATCCACAAAAATGGGTTTAGCAATGTTATAAATTACTTTCAATTGCCAGTTCAGCAGAACACTGAAGCACAGTTCTTGGGTCTTAAAGTCTAAGGACACAAGCCACTCGAAGTTTGAAGCCCTGAGGAACTACAAAACCAGCCCAATGACACCTTTAACAATAGGATAACTCCAGACTTAAAAAAACCTCATTGGAGAGAAGTGTGCTGCAGGACAGGGCAAACTCTTACACATTCCACATAAAGCAAGGCATCTCTAATCTCCTCTTCAGAAAAAAAAAAAAAACAAAAACCTGTAAGTGGAGATTTCCTGAAGAATTAAACAACCATACCTCAGTGTACATTTCACTCGTGGAGAGAGACTGATGGGAACTGGCTATACCATTAATAAGATTTAGTGATCCCATTTGCACAGTGATAACTGCATACAGATTGCCTGTCTTCAACTAAAGAAAGCTCCCTTCCTCTGAGGCTTTTAGCTGTCTGCAGATGCCTAAATGAAGCCTTTCTGTTGATACCCATGGGCTCCCTGGGGTGCTTATGTCAGTTCCTGGTGCTATCCCTTTTCATCTTAATGTACACATGTCAGACTGCTCGGAATTTCTATTCAGTATCACCTTACCCTGAAGGCTCCTTCAGCCTGAATAAACTTGGGTTTATTCACAGGTGCAATAAACTGTGCCCATCGACTTGATGGTTCTGCCTTGAAAAGCCTGAAGGAGCAAAAAGCCAAGTGGTTTGAAACTCAGTCTTTCCAAGTTGTACACTTCGCAGCTGAACACAACAAAATGTGTTTGAGGGTTCTCGTTAAGACCAGACGATCCTCAGAAAGGGCTTTGATCATACAGCCTTATGAAACCGCCAGATCTAAGATTTTCTTTAACATTTCCCAGAATTTAAAGACATACGGGATTGTTTAAAGCTTTCGGCTTCGGATGCGACTGGTCTCTCACAAAGTCTACCAGCGTATCCCGAGCACAGGTTGATGCGCGCAGGCGAATGACAGCCGCGGAGAGCATCCTTGTGTCCGCTGCCCTGCCTGTCCGCAGCTCGGCCCCTAGGGCCGGCCGGGCTGCCGGAGCTTCCGCGGCGCTCCCGGAGCTGAGCGCTCCCCGCGAGAGGCGCGCCCGTGGCAGCGGCTCTTGGACAGCAAGAAGGCAAAAAAAGAGAGCAGCGAAGAGACAGGACCATGCCCGGGCACCGACACGAGCCCGCTGTGAGCCCGCGAGCAGGCGAGGATGAGACGAAAAGCGCATCCCCGGCCCCCAGCCCTGGCCCCGGTGCCCGCCCGGTGCCCGCGCGTCACGCCGCTCACCGATAGTGGAAACGACGGTGCCCACAAAGTAGAAAGCGCCGGTGAAATCCCACCGGGGCCGGATGTCATCGACGCGGATGCCGGCCACGCTCGCCTCTTCGTATTCGCGGAGGAAGTGCCGGAGCTCGGCACGGCTGAGGTTGTGGCGCCGGGTGAAGTTCTCCAGGCGTTCCTCCCAGCGCTCCTTAGCCTCCCGCTCCGTGGGCAGCTCGATGGCCGAGAAGACGGCGGCGCCGCACAGCATGTACAGCACGATCAGCACCGCCAGCAGGAGGAACCGCGCGTTGTCCGCGTTGAGGCGACCCGCGCTGGAGCAGCAGCAGGCGCCGCGACACGCCATCCTCCGCCCGCGGGACCGGGCTGCCGCTCCGCCACGCTACGTCGGGGCCCTGCCACCGCCGCCGGGCATCACGGCGCCGCCCGCCAGCCGTACGCGGGGCCCGGGGCTCAGGGCGCCGCGGAGCCCGGCGGCGGCGAGCGGCGCTCCCGGGAGCCGGCCGGCACCTTCGCCCCGAGGGCAGGGCGCGGCCCCGGCACGGCCCCGCGGCGGAGGCGCTTCGGGCTGCCGAGCATCCTGAGGGCGAGGGAACCGCTCGTCCCGTCTCGCGGAGCCCCTCAGCCCCAGCGCCCGCTGCGCGGGGCTCCCGTGCCCGCCACTTTCATATCCCCTTCCTGCCCCCGCCCCGAGCACGTCGGAGCGGGGCGCAGGGACAGGCACCGCCAGGCGCCTCCTGCCTGCCGGGGGGGACGAGGCGGGACCGGCGGCAGCTCGCCCTCCCTCCCTTCCGCTTGGCCGCGGGGCTCCGCCGCCCGGTCCCCCGGGCCGCCCGCACCATGGCCTCGGGGGAGCCGCAGGCCGGGCCGGGCCGTGCCCGCGGGGCAGCTCCTCCCAGCAGAGGCACGGCCGCCGCCTGCGGAGCTCAGCGCGGCAGCGGGCAGGGCGGGCTGGCAGCGGGCCTGCCCCGCGGAGCCTGCCCCCCTTCACGCCCTCGGGTACCCGGCCCCGGGCTGCGGGGCCGAGGAGCGCCTGAGGCAACCGGGCCTCTCACAGACCGGGCGTGGAACCCGTCAGCCGATTATACGCCCCTCATCAAAGCCATAAAAATTTGCGCCTTTTGCCAAAAGAGGGCACCTCCTTCTTCACAGGAGTGGTTACCCACTCCCTTCCCGACGAGGTGTTACATCTCTGTCCTCCAGCGCATGGTAGTCGAAGGGAAATTGTTTAGGGAAGAGAGAAGCAGCCTCCAGCTGCAATGTGATTTTAAAACGCGTTATTTGCGGTTCAAAGTCCAGAGCTGTCGATCCAAATCTGCTGGAAATATCATTCTCACTGTAAGAAGAAAAAGCTAAATTCAGCAATATCTGGTAGTTGCTACAGTGCTGAATTTTACTTTTAAATAATTGGGGGCTGGAATTCAGTTCTGCTAAACATAATAGTATACAAGCACATTCTTTCCAGGGAAGGACAACCTACATATATTTTTTTAGAAAGC